AAAAAGAAGAAAAAATAATAATAAATGAAAAAGGAAAGAAAAGAAAATTAAAAAAATAAAATAAAATGGTGTCTATAAGCTCAACTTGAAACTCATTACTTAAAACTCAACTTGAGCTCAATTGAGTTTTAATTTTTAAACTCGAGATAAAAATCAAGCTATTTGAGCTCGCTTGATTAGACTCATTTATCGAATAAAAAATAAGCTCGATTCTCATGCTTGATTTCAAAATTGATTATTTATATTCAAACTCGAGTTCAAGCTCAAATTGAATATATATATATAAAGATAAAATAATTTTTTAATTAAAATAATAATATATATATTAAAATATAATAGCGCGATAAGACTTATGAGTTATTCGAACAGGACATTAAGATATTAGAACTTGACTTACTCGGTAAGTTGAGTTGCTCAAGCTTGACTTGACAATGATAAAGCTGAATTCAAATTTCATTCAAGTTGAGCCCGAATAACTTGTGAGTATCAATGTATCATTTATATCCTTACCCTTAACATACACCCCATCTCAATTGGTTACTCGTAGCTTGATCTACATTTTTCAATAGATTTCTCTCTTTCTATTTTTTTTTTCCTATATTGAACTTCAACTTTCAAGATACTTTCAAGTTTAAAGGCTAAAACTCATTTTTCTTATGAAAAATAATTAGTAAAATGAATTTTATAAGAGTGTAATGGTTTTAAATTCAATTCGATTCTATTTTTTCGAATAATATATACTATTATTAATTTTTAAAATTTGAACTAACATTTCCTTGAAATCTATTCTATTTAAACCAAATTTTATCGATTCAGCTCATCGAGTTTTGAAATTTAATTTTTTTATTTTTTATTTTTTATTTTAATATGATTTTTAATATATTTAAATAAACTTACACATAAAATAATTATTTTATTTTATAAAATTTTAAAAAATATAAAAGTTAATAAAAATATATAATTTGGTTTGATTTTTTTTTAAATTTTTTACCTTTTCAATCTAAAATTTGATTTGAACTTAATATATATATATTTAATATTTGAATTTAATCCAAACTGAATAGAAAAAAAAAAAAACCAAAACAAACTAAACACTAAAATTTTTAATCGATTTTCAATTTTTTTTTCTTACTTGTAAAACATCATATATCTAAATAGTTGCAATTGGTACATAGAGAGAAATTAGCAATTAGCAATTGAACTTTTGACTACATGATAAACGTATCATACTAATCAAAAAATCAAATTCAAAAATCTTTTCTTCCAACAAAATACATAAGCAAGTTGTCACATTATCATATTAGTATATCACACATAATAAAATTTAGACTCATGATAGAATATAGCATTATTATTCAATTTAGGAAGATTGATGTTTTTCTTAAAAAAAGAAGATTGAGGTTTAAGTTTCGATTTTTTTTTATCTCTCATTTATATTAAAATAAAATAAATTATTGGTATTGCACATATATTAAGCCCAGTCCCAAGAATATATATGATATAGCCCAGCCTGAATAAAAAAAAAAAATAAAACAAAACATTTCCTTTTGTGGGCTCCACCCAGCTCGAGCCCACCCACACATAGACCGTCCACCTAACCTTGAAGCCCAATGCTGCTAAAACCGAAACCTACTAACTACAAATAATAAGTAGGCAAAATCTGAGCTCATAAAATTTTCGGTAAGAAACCCAGGAAAAAAAAAAAGAAAGAAAGGAAAACCAAGATCAAGAGAAAATCTCCCATATTTATAAAAAAAAAAAGGAAAAAAAAAAGAGAAAAATCTCCCATATTTTTTAACAATAGGTTAGGACTTGTGCCCAACAAAAATGCAATAGGTTAGTACTCAATTTAGTAAATTTTTTAGATCTTTTCTAAGGTTGAATTACAATATGTGCTCCAGCCATAGGTTTTGCCTCATGGTTGACTCACAATATGTGCATTTCCACTGGTATGACTATCTTACTATCTTTTATTGGAAAATAAAAAATTTGAAGGTTCATTTTCTTTTGGATATTTCAACAAAATTTTACTGTACATCCTTAAAATTTATATTCTTTGTTGAATGATTATTTAATTATATTTATTAATAAGGATTTATTTGATAGTATTAGTAGTAATATAATTATATTTTTTAAGATATGAAAATTTATTATGGGCAATTGTAATAATATAATAATATATTATTTTAATTTTTTGTTTATAAATTTTTTTATGTATTATAAACGGATATCTTTTTAAAAAACCCTAGATTCATCAATGATGAAATGCATTCCCTTTCATAGAGGATCGAATTCAAGTTTCAAGTTTTCTCCTTCACTTGATTTATGTAAATTGTATATACTTGGAAAACAAATAAAAAAAAAATCATACCCAGTTCTGTTTAGGCTCAGTCAATCGTAGAACTCTCGCATTCTTCAATAGATGCGAGATTTGCTAAATTTTTAATTTTAATATTCAAAATTTAATCTCTGATAATCTTAAATACTAAAAATAAAAATCCCCTCTCTTTCCAATATGCACCTTTTCAATTATTCTGACTGGTTAAGCAATTGAAGAGTCACAACTAATGATACAAAAATAGTTTAGTCCAAATATTTATAACCCAAAAGGGAATATGATTTTTTTTTTTTTTTTGTTTCTTAACAGAGGAAAATGCCAACCAAATTGATGAGAAAAAAGCTATTATAAGAATTTAAGTAGCAAGATAAGAAAGTGATATTGTCTGAATAAATTTCATCTGTGATCCTTAATTTTTCTTTTTATTTTAATTTCACTTTATTGTCTCTAACCTTGAATTATTCCATGCGAGTCCTTAAGTACCTACTAAAATGGTTTAGTTTTGATCCTTTTGTGAAATAATGAAGTCCCTAAAACATTGACATAATGTCCACAGAGTAAAATCATGTGGCGTTCCTCATGAATATTCCATTAATAAACACATACAGAAGAAACATTATTATATATAGGAGGCTGCCCAAATGCATGCCAAGCCAATCCAAAGTAGTGGCAAAATTATGCCTTTGATGTCACGATTGATATCATAGAGTTTTGCCTTTTTTTCTCATTCAAGGTGGGGCCAAGGCCAAGCCACTGGCGTTATTCGTTTGAAGGAGCGCTTTCAACTTTTCCATCATAACAAGAAAGAGATGAGAAAAAGATTTGATTTTGGTTACTTTCTGCATGGAATATTTGCTACTTTTTGGACGTATTTTTTAATTGAATCCCAAAGGAAGAAAAAAGAAGACAATGGTGGAAAAAGAAGAGATTTCATTATATAGCTTTATTAGGATTTGTTGGCCACCGGTTTTAGAATTCTATACTTCTTTGAGACAATTTTTCAGCAAAGTATATTGCCTTGCCTAAGAGATATATACACAATTACACATGCATGTTAAGATATTTTTAACTTAGCCGCAACAAAAAGTAAATGATTGAGTGACAAAAAATTTCTCGTCACAACAACTTTCACTAATAGTCACCAATTTTTTTTTTGTCACTAATACATTTCATTCCTTCCAAAATTAACTTGGCGACAATTTGATTATTTTAATTTTTACGAGTGACAAGCAACTTTTTGACACCATATACATTAATAGTGTAGATTTAATTGTGAAGCCTCTTAAATCGTCACAAATATTATATTAAACAGGGACGAAAAAATGGGCATCATAATTATCATAATTATTGATACCAATAGTGTCACAATAAACTGATTATCACAACAAAAAAAAAAGTGCAATATTTGTAACGAAATCAATTACAGTCACAAAAAATTTCACTATTTCACTTGGAGTGACTTCTGTAAATCAATTGAAAGAAAAATATAAAGAAAAGGGGAAAATAACCGATCTAGACTGTTAAAAGGAGGCTTCTTTCCATCAAAAAGTAATTATTGGCTTGCCAAAGTACAACGATGAAGAATACAACCCTAACTAGACTTTTGAGGAAATTTACCACTAGGTAATTCTCTCTCTCATCATCATTGTGATAAGCCCTTGTACTTGTTAATTTACCTTTGTATTATTATTACTAACTATTATTTATACTTCTCATCATTCCTCATATTATTCAATTATGACTTTCTTATTTTCATATCACTAGCAAAATTAAACTTCACATGGAAATTGAGTGTTAAAGAAATCTTAAATTAATATTTTTAGTATTTAGTTCAATGATAAATGCAAGTATGATGTGTATTTCTATTTATTAAAAAAATTAGATTTCTTTCGTACGTGTACCACTTCAATTTAATATAGTTAATTTATTTTTATTTTTATACAATAAAATTCATAATCGGAAGTGAAGTTAAAAAATTATTACGAGTGTTAAAATTTAAATTCTACATGTATTTAATATTATATAATTAAATAAATTGATTGAGTTAAAATTTGAAATAGTAATCAATATACTTTGATTATACTTTGGTTAACCTAACTAATTTACAATCTTTTGGTGAATTAATGAAATTTAATTTTAAGCCTACTTATGAATAGTTTCTTAGGTACTGATAAAGCACATTAATTTGACGCTGTAAAAAAAATCTCTTTGACCGTTCCTAATACATAATGACACTCATAAGTCATAGCAAATCATCAATATTACAAATGTGACAATGAAAATTAAATTAAATGCGTATCTAGGCTGGAATCAAGATTATGGCCAAAAAAACACAGAAGGCCCACAGAGCACTAAGCCACCAACATTATCATAAAGTGGAAGACGACTCCCATCACTTTAATAAAGGCTAGGTTGAGACTATAACCCTACTAAAATTATACATTAAGAACTGACTAGACATTTGGGGGCATATGTTCAAGAGTCTGCATCTTCTCCCTTGATCAAGGCTATGCTTGGACGAATGATGCGTTGAAATGTGAGCACTCTCACGGTTAACCCTTAACCCTTCCAAACATAACCTAACCCGTTAACACCATTTATGAGTTAGTTATCTCTCGTTTTAAACCCTAAAACATCATCAAATTAATAAAGGTCCCCCCAATTCCCACCCCAAATGGTGGGTTAAGTGGGGCATCTCCACCACGTGAACTCATTGGTGCCATGGCATGCTGCATACAACTAGGCCCCATCAACCACTGGCTCTCATGATTCTCCCCCCACACCATGATTTTCAAAGCATCTTCCAACATCACACATGGTCTGCCACCATACTGGATCATGATGCACTCCCCTTCCTATGTTTTTTCTTTTTTCCACCAATCTCCACCCTCCAAAATTTTTGTCCGATCAAGTCCTTTTGACGTGCAGGTGCACCAACCTTACACGTTTCCCCTCAATATAAACGCCATGAAGAGACCAACAATGAGCTTTGCTAATAATATACCAAGGTTTTTAATTTGGTTTTTAAGTCATGGAGAAGAGCAAGTCATTCCCTGAATATTCTTCATCATTCTCCGGGGAATTCGACTTCGAAAACCGATCGAATTCGTATAATTTTAACGGGCCATGCAGCAAAAGTAATGGATTTGCGGCATCTAATGATCCAGAGCTTAAGAGGAAGAAGAGAATCGCCTCATACAACGTGTTTACAATGGAAGGTAAGCTAAAGTCAAGTGTTAGGAACAGCTTCAAGTGGATCAAGAGCAAGTTTAGCGATGTTCGTTATGATATGTGAGTTGTAAAAAAGTAAAGATGTTCCTGTGTCTTGGTTTTTGTTTGGAAATTTGAGAGGGAAGAATTTTCGCTCTTGAAAAAAAAAAAGAAAAAAAAACCAATGAAATTGGAGAGGAGTCTAGTCTTGCATGGGAATTAATATGCAAGTTTGGTCATTTGGGTTGTCTTTGTAATATGTTTTGGTGAAAAATGGTTAAATTTTCTTTCTTTCTCTCCATAATTTTCCATTACAATTAGAATTAGAAGTCGAATGCTGCTATTGGGGTATTCTCTAAGCTAGGATATGGAATTTGGATGCAAGGAAAAGGGGTTAAGAAGAAAGAATAGAAGCTTTTCATTTCTCAAAACACTTTGAATGGACATGATTTAAATCGTAGTAGTTTTGCTTTGGTCATCAATATTTCCAAAGAAAAAAAAAATAGAGATATTTGATAATTTGTACATTCATGTTATATCTATTTCATATCAAACACATAAAATATGAAAATTATTATATTATAATTCATATTAACACATCAAATATAAAACATTTATCAATTTTTATCAAATTTATATATAATTTTTACTAAAATTTTAAATTATATTATTTTTTAATCTTTTTATATAATATCACATTTAAAATTATCATATATAAATATACCTACTTCCTTGGTGAAGGATTGGTGGAATAGCCCAACTTAAAATCTCACAAAGACATGTATCTCGTTAATGTTGATCATTATGTAAGAATTTATAATCAAGGTTTTAGAATTTCAAAAAACTTTTTCAAGTTCATAAAATCAATTCTTTCTATTCTACCCCTATGGTCTATGTAAATTTTATAGCCAAATGTCGATTGACATAACTAGTAATAAGTATTTTTCATTTGTATTTAAAACCAACAATTAAGAAGAAACGAGAAAGCAATTAACTCTAGTTTTTGGTGAGGATTCCCAAGCAAACCCACCCCAGATTTCGAACCATGTATAAACTTTTATTCGAGGGATATAAATTTAGATCTAGTTTAATCTTACTGTTATGATTAAAAAATTTTGAATTAAAAAATATAATTTAAAAATTTTAAGTGATTAATATTATTGTGAATTTTTAAAAAATATGTATAAAATAATAAAAGTTCAAAAGATAATAAAATCATTTTACCTAAAAAATTATGGAAGACCACAAAGTACTTTTTTTGCTTGAATTTACAAACCAGATTATTAAATTGAGGAAGTCGTTTTTTTTTTTTATTATTTAGCATTAAAATTAAATTAAAAGTAATTTTTAAATGGAAAAATCACTTTCAACCTCAATGCTACACTATTTCTTAATTGATAGTGGCACCTTTCACCTTTATATCATCATATCTGGAAATTCTTCTCAAATTTAAAATTCTCCTAACCCAACTAACCGTACCAAAAAATTTTCAATAGTTCAAAATATGCTACGTATTTATGTCTTCCAGGCCCATTTAGCTAACTTAAATTAACAAGTGTGATGATAGGACTGTATTGCTGCTGGCCATAGTGACTCTCTTTAACAACGGTGAAGAGGGCCACAAAGCCACTAAAATCAAAGGAGGCATCATCATTGAAGACTAAAATAGACATGCAATAAAGAAAGAAAAGCAAACCACAACAAATACGATTCAGTGTTTGTGATACGGATGGCAAATTGGCAAGGTGATGAGAAACCATATGTTTATCCATTAAAACTTATGATTGAAATTGACAACCACCAACCCCTCACTCACCACGCCAAGTCTAACACGGATGTATGCATGCTCATTGTATTTCATCAATTATTAAGTTTACAAAGATGCTTATGTTTTTTTTAGTCGGCTAGTAAAAGAAACCAAACCACATATTTACTGCCAAAAGAATACAAAAACATAATTGAATCTTGGATTTGATCTACCCCATATGTTTTTTTTATCAGTTTATCCTTTGTTCTTGTCCGGCCCCATGAACAAGGTTTTAATATTTTGCAGTATATATATATGTGTGTGTGTGTGTCTCTCTCTCTGTCTGTCTGTCTGTCTCTCTCTCTCTCTCTCTCTATATATATATATATATATATGTGAGTGTGTGTGATAATTTCAAGTTCAATTTGGACTATAATGGACTGTTTCTTTGCTTTAAGTGAAACTACAAGGTGTCATGTTTTTTGTTAAAAAAAATAAAATCCATGCGTGGTTCATAGGGATGTCTATTCCATTATACCAAACCAGCTAATCCTTCAATTCTTTCTTTCTATACATCATATGTAAGAATTACTTACAATCTTCATCCAAGAAGTGGTGTTGAGTTAGTAGATACGAGGCATACATACCTTAATTGGCAACTGAACCTCTCTTCAAAGAAATGAGTGGATGAGGCATTCCTTATTGGTAAGTACTGCATGCACATCTCTTTCTAAGGAATGAGAGCTCAAGTTATTTTTTCAAGTTCTTAATCCATCCTTGACCCCCTCCTCCTAACTAACTATTTACATAACTGGCAAGGAATGTTCCGTACGTCTCAAACCCGAGCAATGATCCTTCGGGGTACCTATGGGCTCATGTTTTTAATCTTCTGCGCAAATTATTAAAATTCTGATCTAGCAAAACACCCTCATTTAATAGTATTCTAGCAGGAAAATTCTGACCTATATGATAAAAGTTAAATGATTACAGAAGCAGAACATAGCAAGTAGGGAATGCTTCGGCATAGTTTTCCTAAACTCAATGATATCCCCATATATCATGCCCTCCTTTTTACCAGAGAAAAATAAAATTTGAATAACTAAAGTTTATCACCTGATAGCCGCAAACCTTGTCAGATGATATTAGGGACACATCAACGTTGCCATAACCAGATATCCTGAACTTCGGTTAGCAGGCTAAAACAAGTCAATCCTCAGGATATATGGCACCTACTAATCAACTATGACAGCAAAATATTCATAATGGTTATATTTAATTACTTGAAGATCAGTTTAGGGAGAAAAATCAATTAAAACCTTTAGAAGGAAATGTATATTACTCAGAATCGCAAAATCTCAACACCACTTGGTCATTTTACATGGCATAATCATCAATGGCGTATTCTAAATGCTTCCTTTGGTTCAAAGTTCTGAATTCCCTTGTGGATGCAGACCTACCAACTTGATTCAATCTGTACATGTTACCTTTGTCCTTCTGATAGTTTGGGGCTCGTGTTTGGGAACCGGGTAATGGAGGGCGGTTTGTAATGTTCCTACTAGCACTAGAATGAACATGGGTGCTTGGGGATGTCTTTTGGCCAGAAGAAGCAACAAGAGAAAGCAAAAGAGGAGGGCTCTCCACCTGGGTGGGCTTTGAACCTGATGAGGTGCTCGTGGCCATCGTACTGCTACCAGGTTCTTCAACTTGCATTTTTGACTCAGTAGACTTCTTAGTGCCCTGAAGTAAGACAGGTTGACGTACCATTAAGCTTAAATCAATAAAATTTCATATTAACATTGCTAGACAAGAACTAGTACCAACATTAAAATAGGAAGTTAAGTAAATTCTATTTAATGTGCTTGTTTTCTCGCTTGATTGAAATAGAAACCAATAATATATGTATTTGCACTCCATCATCATAAATAATTAAATATTGACAGATTTGGAGTGCAACTCAGGAAGGAGTCATTAGTGCATCTCTTTGCTTTTTCTCCGTCTATTTTGTCAGTTTGAGGATTACAAAAAAAAGGGGAGTATGCTGATCTTTTTTGCTCAAAATTCCTCCGGAAAATTCCTTACCTCCCTATGAAACATGGCTTCTTCCTTTTGTTCAGCCACCTCATCTTGTTTCCTGTGTGCTCCAAGCGTTTGAGATCGTCTTTTCATTTTTGAATTTCTGTGCCTATAAAAATAGGAAAAGTAATTAGTCAACAGATCTCTAGACATTGTCTGCAACCTATCTGGAACACAAAATGTTACGACAGTTACATTAAGATTGAATACTACAAACATTACTAATTGCTATTACGAAATGAAAAAGGCGTTTGCCACATCATATGCATCCCATGTCAGGATGTGATAATCCCGAACAAATCGTGGCCAGAAACTTTTGTGCTGCATTACTGGCCTAATATTATATGATTGCTGTAACAAAATCAAATTTCATATTCTTTCTTTTTTTTCTTTTTTTTTTCTTCTTTTTTGGATAACTCAAATTTCATATTCATCATCTCATTTACCTATAATTTCTTGGTAATATATGTCAAGGATGAACATTAAGTGTGTTTCTTCACTGCTTCTTGTGTGCCTTCAAGCTTACAAAAGATGGAATCTTGATTACATTATGAAAAGAAAGAAACAGAAAGAAATCTTAGGGAAGATTTGCATACAGGCATCTGTAATTTAGTATAAAAAACCACTGTCAAGGCCACGAAAACACTCTTGAATTTGGAAAATCATCTGCTAAAATAATAGAACTAAAAACGTTTCATAGGTTCTTCAGAAAGCTACAAAACTTACCAAACCATCTCACCCTGCTCCCCTTCCGATCTCCTAACTTCTTTTTTTATAGGCAAAGCCTTGAATTCAGAGGATCAAATGTAACATGATTATGCAGAAAGAAACATCATTATTTTAAGATTCTTCATTCATATCCTTTCATAGAAAAGTCATGAAACCTGTATTGCTAGACTTTTAATCCAGTTCTCACTGAATTACTAAATTTATAGACCAACAGTCTAATACAAAGTCTGACCCTTGCAGGACTCTTAAATTTACATCAGTGTAGAATACCATAGAATCATGAATAAATTGATGCAAAAAGATTCACATTCTGGTTGCAACTTAGCACATTCATTGTCAATTTTCTTAAGGCAGAAACACAAAATTGGTATAAAATGAATTCATAATTAATCTGGGAAAATATAACTTACTGTCTAGGTTGATTAGCTTCATCATCCTTGTTATAAACAAGAGGAAGACCTGAAAGGTCACACGCTAATGGACTTGTGTAAAAAAACTGCAAAGAGAAAGTATTTCTTAGCTCAAGATTCAGAATAAGGTTTGCATGTAATCTTATAATTGCAAGATAAGCTCAAGAACTACATTACAATCATACTATAGGAATAGGACCTTTTAGGGTCATCACATATATGGTGCAAGTACAACTTCCAACCGATAAAATTATAAAATAATATGGCAGAATTAATTAGAAATGACATAATGTAAGGGCAATGCCTCACAACTAGTGTAAGAGAAATCAACTGTCAGAGGGGAAGAATGGTGAAAGTTTCTTTCTTTGACAAATGCAGAGACCTCTGTGTGAATTTGACATTGCTGCGCTACATTTGCTGGTTAAAGATACGCACTCAGTAAGGCTAAAGCACAGAGTTAGTGGAAGCATCATTGTCTCCTTTAACACATCAGAATGTGTTGAACGCAATTGTTAAAGATGGGTTAACTATGATCAATAACAATCTCTACAAGTTTTTGAATGGCAATTGTATCATATAAAAGATGCAGAAAAAATAATATCATTATTTTCTAACATAAAATTAAAAACTTCAGCATTTTGAAGACTGACTAGAAAAGTATTCTTAATCACTCCACACCAGCTAAAGAATTTCTGATTGAAAATAACAAAGCATAATATACATCTGGAAAAATAAAGATTCAACTGAAAATGGCTTCCTTCTTCTTCTTCTTCACTGCATAGAAAGAAAAATAGAATGGCACTAAATAAGCCTCCACTTCATACTTACTTCATTTTTAAGGGCTGAAGAAGCAGTGCCACGATATGCAGGATCTAAAGCAAGAAGAGTGCTCAAAAGACCTAAGGAAGACTTGGGGAAGTTCCTGAAAGCATCAATTAGACTAGGTTTGTCTGATTGGGGAGGTCGGAAAGCTGTAGACAGCCTCAACTTTTTCCAATATCCCTCCGATGGAGTGCCACACAACTTGAAAATCTTGTGAAGTTGCTCAACCTGGACGCACAAAAAATTCTTAATCTGGGAAACTAGTAATAGTAACATCAACCCCCCCCCCCCTTTACCCTCCCTCAACACACAAAAAAGAATTTCTAAAGGAGGAATAATTATGACAGAAACATACAAATTACTCAAGAATATTAGACTGTTTTACCTCTGTTCTACCCGGCATGATTGGCCCCCCTGCAAACATCTCTGCCAAGAGGCATCCAGCACTCCAAAGATCAATTCCAACTCCATAGTCTGTCGAACCTAACAGCAGCTCAGGGGCTCTATACCAAAGTGTCACAACTCGGTTTGTGAGAGGGTATTTGCGGTTAGGAGAAAAAAAATTCGCAAGTCCAAAATCAGCAATCTTTAAAATCCCATTTTTATCAATTAGTAAATTCGATCCTTTAATATCCCGATGTAAAATTCCCCTCTCATGGCAATGCTGCAGACCTGAAAGCAGTTGATGCATGTAATATTTTATCTGCATCAACAATTCAAATTAGCAACTGATAAAACTAGTGTCTCCAATTTTTGAAATCTCTGAAAGAGTAAAAGAGGCAAATCTAACCTGTGGTTCTGTAAGCCTGCCCTCAGGACGCGTTATAATTCTTGCCAGATCAGAATGCATAAAGTCAAAAACTAGATAAAGACTATATTGCATTCTTGATGTGGCCAATCCCTCAAGCTTCACTATATTGGGATGATCCAACTTCTGTAATATCATTATCTCTCGTGCCATAAATTTCACACTCTCAGGTTCTGATGTGTCAAAACGGACCTTTTTCAAGGCAACAATCTTTCCAGTCTCCCTATCTCGAGCTTTATATACATTGCTGTAGGTACCCTGGCCTATCTATAACCAAACAGCATAAAGAAAATTCACATCATTTGCTTTTCTTACCAGTTACCATAGAAATTCAAAATATTTTCAGTTTTACTTGCATCAGTTGCTCATAGAATTAAGGGCAATAATGACATCAACTTTTTTAATAGTTTCTTCTTGTTACTTGGATCAAAGTATAATGAATGCAACTCAGATGATCTTAATACAAACAACAACTCGGTCTTTTCAAGTTGAGATTATTGAACATTCTCTCCAAGCTAGGAGCAGGGAAGGATAGCATCAAAGATTTTAGTGATTTTTTTTTTTCTTTCCACACTTCCTTGGCAGCCAAACAATCTCTTTCAAGGAATTTCATTTTAAAGAAAACGATAGCATATGTTTTCGAGTTGTACACAAGTTATTAAATCCAAATTCTATTTACCTCTTCAATGCATACTAAACACAGTTATTTGATAGTCGCCCAGCCATTCTTAGCATATAAATTAGAATTAACATCAAAGTTTAGTAATTACCTTATCAATCTTATCATACAACTCGGCACTTTTTGGAACCAAACCAGCTAAAACCTCTTTTGGGATATTATCAATGAGCCATTTTGGCCATCCATCAACCATCTCATCTCCAACAACAAAAAAATTTCTCTTTTCAACAGCTTCATTGCTTCTCATTTTTTCTTTACCATTGAAGTTCCCTTCTTTGCCACCAGCAACAGCGGCAACAACACCATCAGCACTACCAAATCCATTAAGCTTCTTTGGTGGTTCAGGCTTAGAAAACCGACCTGGCTCAGAATACCTCTGACCAGTTGACCTTCTATGACCCACAAATCTTTCTTTTCCCATATACCCATTTTCCATTTTTAGCTTCTCTAAGCCTCTAGGTGGTGAGTTCATTGAATTCTTGCCATGAACACACCCCATTTCTTTGTTTCGGACTTTCAGTTATCAAAAAGGCTTATTCTTCTCGATGGTCTAACAATGAGTAACAAAGTAGAGAAAGGACCATGAAGAAGAAGAGAAAGGGAGACACTTGGAAGAGTTTAATGAACAAAGAAAAAGAGATGGAAGAAAAAGTGACAAAAATGGCCGTCCTAAGCCGGCGTTCTTGGAATTTTGCTGTATGAGTGAAATAGAAAGGATCTCTTCTTTTTTTTTTTTTTGTTGTTGTTGGTTTATTTCTTTTAGGCTTCTTTTTTGTCTTGCTTTCTCCGCTCATTGAGACAGAAAAAAGCGAAACTTGAAACCCCATTCATTGAATTGTGTTTGTCTTAACTGTTGCTGGCGGGAGACCAATAGTTGAAACTTGAAAGGGCAATATCCTATACTAACTACATGGATAAACTGAAGAATTAAAATTGGAATGTGTGGCACTTTGCCACTTTAGAAGCAGCAAGGACAGGTGACAATTTGAACTTAGAAGAGCCGGTCCATGGAATCTAGAAAATCTATCCAATAGGATTTTACCATGTCATGATCCTGGCCCACAGAAAAGGTGTCAGCTAACTGATCTGGCTGACTTGTCTATTGACAGCTGTTTGGGAAGGGAGGCTCCTGCTTCCTCACCTGCTAGACTGCGGCTGCCTGCTTTTACAATGAGCTTGTCTTTTAATGTCCAATCCAAGCCAACAAAGAAATTTATGCTCTGTGCCTTGTCTTTCTCTCTTCCTCTGGTTGTAGAAGCTTGTATTCTTGGCCTTAAAACTTTGGTTGAGAGATTCAGGCCTTGGCTTCTAGGACAAGAACAAGTTCTCTTTCTTTCAGGTGTGTCTTTTTCCCTCTCTTTTCATTTTAAGCACTTTCTTTTGTTTTGGCCAAAAATTGAGCACTTGGATTTGGCTGCTTGATTAATAATTTTTGGATATCATATATTGGTTTCCTGATTAAAGCTCTTCTTTTTTTTTTTTCTTGCTGCACCAAACAAGGGAAAGAATCATTTGGGTCCAAGTTTATTAAGTTAGGTTCTTTATTGGCTTGACTGAGACAATTGCAGCAGAGAGCAAAAAGCTAAGCTTTTGTCTTCTCTGATGTTGTTGAGAATAGTAGGTCTTGTTGGTTCGAGGCATTGTCTCTTGTTGCATATTATCCATTTTACTACTAAGTGAAACAGTTTTTAGTGATGATCTTTTTCTTTTCTTCTTTCATTTTTGGCTAACTGAATGGCTCAAATTTGAAAATTTTACTTCATATTAGGGCTAGAAGCTACCTTAATTTTCATATAATTTATGTTGTGCCCATTTGTCTTTGATGCAATCGTTATTAAACATACAGGAGCCAGGGGTGTTTTCGGCTGGTATCAATTGTAACTATGGTGAAATAGATAGCCATGTATTCAAAACCTCATTGATTGTTATGTTTTAAACAGATTTAAAAGACAGCTGATTTTGTTAAATGCACCTTGATTTCGTTCTGGAATTTTGAGTATGGTATCATTGTGGAGTAGCGGTATTCAGGTGTGCTAGGCTTGCTGTTTAGGTGATGTACTCTTGCGAAGCTTTAGAATTCATTCGGATGGGTTGTGGGAGGACTCCCACTGCACGGTGCATGTCATTTTATTCACTAGACCCTTAAAGGTCCAGTTATAAAATGCTGCTACTATGCGGTGAGAGTCCCTCCACAATGCAACCAAGGGGACCCTTAGTAAATCTATAACAGCATTCTTATTATGACCTAATATATTCGGAGGGTAAGGTATCATGGAAATGCAAGTGATACCAGCCGAAAATATGTTGAAATTACATTCCTTGTGTTTCATACCATTTTAGGTGCCATTAGAGATAGATGCTAGAGCTCGAACTTTATGAGGTTACAATAGTTAAATTCATTTCCTTGGAACCAGTTGAAGAAGCCATTATCAGTGACAAAACCCTGTACTCATAACCCGGCCTGTTATTCTAGATGATCTTTTGGGAATTATATGCCAGCATAGCAAAGTTATTTCTATTACTATTCCTCAGTTGTCAAAACTAATTTGTAACGAGAATGATGCGTGTGATACTGTTAATGTCTCTATGTAAGTATAATTGTATAAATGTATGTATGCTTAGGTTGAGATCATGAGATGTAATTAAGTTATAGCAAGTTCACAACAATGCAACAAGTCAAAGTCACCAAGTTATAAATGTCATTTATAATAACTATGAAATTAAATTGAAAAAGAGCATCACGTGGCACAATATGGTAACGATTGATTAGTCATATTTTATGTCATATTAGATAACGAGTCAAGTTTTTCCTACTACAATCATGTTTAGCCATACGTTTTTTTTTTCCTGAAATAAGGTGTCTCAATAGGATTATTTGTGACTGAAATTGGAGGGATCCATGTCTGAATTTGCATTGTGAATTCAATCAGTGCTAGGAAAGAGGGTTCTGAGTGACAGTAACCCGAGGTCCTAAAACTGGGGCTAGGTTATTTGATAGATGAGGATTCAACCCTAGTCTTTATCTTTAATCTCCTACATTCCACAACCCGAACTGTGGAATATTGAGTTAATGAAGAAGTTTGGTGAACTTTGAAATAGTTATACAACCGTGTGAAATTTTGCTTCTTACTGCAGCTAGTTCAATTAGTTAAGATGCGTGGGACGATGATTCACCTTCAACCGAAGATCATGCACGAAGCACCCCAAATGGCACAAACACTGTAGTAACTGGGTCGCATTCATGGGAGACCAGAATCGCAATGTTAGAGGCACGAATAGCAAGGGTTGAGGGTCGACTGGATGGACTCGAAGTAAGGATGTTTTAACAGCTGAAGGCACTGCAGGTCATCTCTGTGCTGTTTTTGATTACTCTTGCATATGCCATATGGAAATGAACGTGAAGGATGATAAACTGTTGCAGCTGTAGCATTGTACTGCTATACTTTGATGTTGACATAGCTAGCCATCTGATACAATTTTTTTACCATAGAATTTAATTTGAATCTAAAACAGCTGCAGAATTTAATTTGAATCTAAAACAGCTGCAGTTTTTTCTACTAATAGTGTTTGAAACTTTCTTTGACCTATGGGCTTGAAACAGCTGCTCATAGCCTTAAAAATTAACATGAAAGCTGTTCATAAACTTTGCATACTGAAGTGAAACTGTTGAAACTACATAAACGAATTGTCTTACCACTAACTGGTTGAAACTAGTTTGAAAAGGATGAAATGTGCTCATTCGACTCACATTTATCGATAAAATTACAAGCAAGCAATGCATGCTAGCTAATATATGCAGAAAAAACACCTGGTCTACATAAATTATCAAAATGAACTGTGTAAACTAGAAAACCAAGCAAACTATTCGTATACAGCTTGTTACAATTGATTGATCAAGCAACAAGAATAGTAAACAACTTGCTCAAGAAGTTGCAAACAAACATTGGATATAACTTCAGAAATGAAAAAGTATTAATAGCATAGAGGTACAAGGAAAAGAGTCAATCCAAGTCTATTATCCCAAAATTGGAGAGCATGATCTTTACTTGATCAACAAAGTTTGAGCCTGTTGCATACTCGGTTAGCATCCCAACAGCAAAACCAAACATCGCCCATCTACAACACCAACGTCCCCAAAATCACTCATCATATGGCATGTATTAGCATGATTATTCATGTACACAAAACCCAGTAGCCAGGCTAAGGATTTTTACAAATTAAATGTAATAGGACACTAACAACAGAACTGCAATCTTAATGAAACGGTCAAAAATGTAAACAATGTATTATGCTTAACCAAGTCAAAAGAAAGAGGCCTTCAAGTTTTAAAGTTTGTATATGTGTCTGTGTGCTTCTATATATACCTTGTGCGGAAGCTATTTCATGGTATCAATTGACATCATGTTAAACAATGTCAATGTCCAGGAAACAAAAAAGAACTAAAGTTTTATTGAAAACCATTCCAGGAATTGATGAATTCATCTATGAAAGAAATGCAGGTAAGACGTATTCATTCAAGGAGGGAGTAGCACAAATTGAGCTTACTACATACCGTATTCCTTTGGTATAGATTTAGGTCAAAAGTATGATGTAAGGAGATGTGCATCCTCTTCCGAATCATTATGGTGTGCATACCCAGGGACACTTGTATGAAATATTCTCTCAACATCATGCAAAGTGCTCATAAGCTATTGCTATTCTGCTATAGTTATGCATGTACTTAGATAATGTTTTTTTTGCTTGAGCAAAATTATTTGGAAAAGGAATTAAAAAACACTCTCGATTGAATCGGAATTTAGCTCAGTTAATTCATGAATTTACCCTTAAGAGGTGGCATCTGGTTGCAAAGTCCAAGATTTTTCAGTTGTTCACTTGCAATGTAAATAAAAAATCACTGGATTTACCAATTTTATCCACAGAAAGGAAGTCTAGATCCTTCAAATTTTCTTGTTTTCCAATCTTTGGAGTGTCCAATGGACATTCTATTTCCCCATTTGAATCAGCCACTGGTGGCATTCAGAAGGTCCGAGATTCAAATCTCAACATTATAACCCCATTCCTTATTTTATTAAAAAAAAAGTCTCGTTTATCAGAGGTTCCTTATAATTCTTCCAAATAGTTTGGGAGCTTAGTCTGGTTACTTATACCAGTCTAAGTTCAAGGGCTTCATGCAAATTGGGCAGTTCTTAAAATTTTGTAAAAAGAATATGAATGACGTCCCGATTACAAGTCCTCACCAGGAACACAGAAAGAGGAATTGACTCTACCTTGGAGTCCTTAACAGTCTTATTGTCAAAAACTTTCATAAATGAGCATTATATCCATCAATGTAATTGTTCACTCAATTCTTAATTCATTTAACACGATTCCTGGAAACACCATAACCCAACCAATATAACCAAAATAAAATAAGGCATATTCTGTTTACCTTCCATTAGCAATCTCATTCTTCCCAAGGAACCCAAAGAAAGGCCCTTGATTTGATTCCTCAAGCTTCTTCTGTTTAAAGTAGTCTTGCAGCTCCTTTGCCTTTTGCCTCTGAAACTCCAAAGTGATCACATTCTGGTCTCCCACAGCTGCCACAGAAGCCGACTTCGGAGGCAGCGGCGGCGACAGAGGCAAAGATGAAGGAGCCGGTGATGGTGATGGAGAAGGAGAAGGAGGAACTGGCTTCAAAGGAGGTGGTGGAGAAGGTGCAACAGGTCTTCTCAAAGGACCTTCAGTTTGAGAACACCTTATCGTCACAATATAAGACTTGGCTGCTATAGATGATGATAACGATGATGAAGAAGAGGAACATGGGGATGACAGGTTTCGTATTTTGAAACATGGGATTGAGAATGCCATAGACATTATTTTTCTCTCTCCCTTTGTTCCTAAATTCCAGGTTTTTTTTTTTTTTAAATGTTCTTACAAGTTTAAGATTGTGTTTAGAGATTTGAGGTGAGTGGATAAGGGTTGGACAAGTTTCAACAGACAGATGGCTCAAAAATAGAGTTACTCTCGACGGTTGGTTGGCGGATTGGAGCCACTGGGTTCTTACGCGTGTGAGAAACATATGTCATCCCTACCATTCACGAGCTCACGCGCTTTCTGAGCGATTGAGATACTTTTTTTTTTTGTAATTTCCACATTTGACGGCTGTAAAGTGAAATGAACAGAGGACTAACGAGGTGAGTCTTGCATGTGTGGGTGAATATAAATATATATATATATATATATAATGTTATGGATATGATAATTTGTATTATTTTATTATGTTTCATATTAGATATTATTTCAAACAAGATAAGAAAAATTTTGATAAAAATAAAATATGAATATTTAAATGACATAATAATCAAAATATTAATATGATATATTTATTATATATATTATATGTAATATGATATAATTAATATATTTTAATTTTAAGAATAAATAATATAATATGATACTATTAACATGATTATACATTATTAATACGATTAATACTAAAATATCTAATAAAAAATTTAATACTAAATCAAAATGATATTATAATAAAATATTAAAACATGATTATATACTTGTTATAAACTTATCATTTATATATGTTGACACGATAACACGATTAAAATATGATTAGTTAATTTGTCATATTTTAAACGTATAACACAAGCAAAACACAAAACATGACTCATGTAACGTCATTTCTTAAATATATCAATAATGATTAAAATATAAAATATAATTATAAAAAATACATATACAATTTATTAAGTGTCATTTTCATATTTTATTATCATATCGTATCTAAAATTGCTAAGTCTAATATCGAGTTAATGGAAATCATTTCAATTCTTACCTTATCTCTAAGGACGGTAAATCAACTTGAAACCGTCGGGTCTTGACCCGACTCGAACATCTAGGGTCGATTTTTTTTTTAAATGGATTTTGGGTCAGGTCGGGTTAGTTTATTTTTTTGAAAGACAATTTTAGGTCGGGGTTAGGTTTATATGAAACTCGACCCAACTCAACCTGAGATATTTACAAAAATACCTTTGATATATATATATATATATATGTAATTTTTGTTTTAAGGTTTCTCATTTCTTTCTACAATTTTGCCTCATGCCCGATCTCTTCACACAACCATATCCTCCACCTCATTTTTTTCTCTACTTCATTTCTTCCACCATTCCCTTCATCTATTTTAGCAAAGAAAGCATCCAAATTTCAATTTAGAAAGAAGAAAGTCAAGCTTTCAAGGCATCTGCAGATCTAGTTCTAGTTTTCCTCATTTGAACCATCATGTACGTTTTTCCTTTTTTTATTTTTTTTAATAGTTGGAAAAATTTTTTTTTTTAATTTGAGCTAATTCGGGTTATTTTTTGGCTTATATTATTTTTTTATTATCGTTCTTTGTAACCTGTGTATGCAACAAAGAAACCCTAAGATAATTGCTAAAATTTTGGGTAAGTGAAAAATGACTCTTTTTGTTGATATCTTGGGTTACGGCTTGAAAAAGATTCTTTGAATAAAAAATACGAGAATTGGCCATACTAATCTTCTGACCCGAAGAGGCATATAAATTTTTTAAACAATCTAATATCTTAATTGGTATTGAATTCAAAAACCATGGAATTGACTCATTTAGTTTCATTTTTTTCCTTACTAGTACGTCCTAGCTTTATGGATTTCTAAGATATTTTTATTGTTTGTTTACAAATGTAAAAAATCATCTTATTTTGATCTATTGCAAACATGGAAAGGTAATAGTCTAAATTCAACTATTACTTGTACTTCTTTCCTGTATAAATGTTAGCTTAGCTTCTGAAACTTATAAATGAGTGTTTGCTTGTTGATGTTATATATGTATAGTACATTTGAATGGTTAAGCATGAGTTTCCTTTATAGGTTTAGATTGGCTGATAAGATATTCCTACAAATGATCAATTTGCATGAATTATATGGCTTTTAAGTTGAATTAATGGAAGCTATATGGAAATAACTATGCCTTTTTCTTTTATAGTGCATGCTAAGTCAACAACCTAAAGGTCACCAACCTGCTATTAAAATTTTTCACTATAGGTGTAGCTAAGAGAATCCTAATACTCACCCATAGCAAAGTAAGGTTCATTTGCATCCAAGTAGTCCTTAACATAACCACCCCAAAATCCTCTAACAAAATTCAACCTCCATCTATCATAACTAATTTCATTTCTACATGTCACAAAATGCCAGAAAAATTTTACATAAACAAACTACTGCAGTTGAAGTATGTATTCTGGAGAAATTCACAAGAAGTAAATCTCTCACATCATGTAGAAACAAACAAACAAAGCTGATAAGAACATAATGAGGTTAAAAATATGCTTAAAAGAAACACAAGATAACTCGTTCAATAATTTCAGACCATTAAAGCTATATATAGGTTAGCTTCTTTGGAATAAAAGATACCACCAATCCAATTGTCAAAAAGTTCAAAAATAAAAAAAAAAAGTTAAAATAGTTACAGTAAAAAATATGGGACATTTCATGGAGAACCTCTATAAAAAAAACCAAGGAAATAGTGATTGAAATATAACTGCAACAGAAAAAGAATGAGGATGGTTCCTAATAAAATCTAACATATCAAGCGATCAATTATATTTTACACTAGATTAAACAATTGAAAATAATCAAATATCTTAAACTACATCTGCAAGGTGTTTTTAGTTCGATTATCTAATCATCCTATTGCCAACATCTAAAAATTATATGAACAATCAGGTATGATAATATTCATAGTTCAACTGATAGTTGCTAAAAAAATGCAAAAGCAATCCAAATCAACTTACAAATAGTCATTTGTTTTGGTTGATCCTTCCTGCTATATAAATATTTCATTATGCATATATGCAACATTATACAACATTTAAACTTCATTTCATCTAGATAATTTGGATGTGCGAATGGATGTCAGAATCAAATTTCAACAAATCTACCTTAGTAGACATAAATGTAAACTAAGATGGTAAATCAGTAACTAAATTTATTCATTTTACAAAACTAACACCAGTAGCATTGCTATTAGTCTAACTCAAAATTAGTTGCAGTGAAAATAGATACAATTACTAACTTGGTCTTGCTATTGATATTGCTACTAGAAAAAAAAATCCATGTAATACAAAATAGCACAAAAGTCTGGTTATTAATGTCCTAAAATTTCAGTGGCCTAAAGTGAACTGCATAAGTTTCTTACACATTTAGAACTAACCTTTTGGAACAAAACCTATGATTTGTATCTTAATACCCTGTTGCATACTAATACAATTGAAATGCAATGACATATGTAATTATATCATTTTCCATAAAAAAAAAAACCTATACTTTTATGCAATATCTGAGTCGTATGATAACAGATGAATTTAAACTATGCTATCCTTACACCTCAACAGTGGCCTGTGTTTCTCAAGCTTTCATAACCATAGAACACACATTACTTGAAAATGAGGATCATCTCCAACGACTGCCTAGTCATCCCAATTTCAGCGACCACCAAATATATTTCATACACCATTTTGATTTTGAAAGTATGCACAACGGTGATTCAATAAAACATCACCAAAAACTCTCAAACTGACTTCATTGAGGCTTTTTACAAGTTTTTTCAACTCATCAATAGTTTCATATATAATAAATCAAGAAAATTCACACAATAGTTTGCCTTAGGTCATTTGAGAAGAATGTAACACTGAAAATTTTTAGATAAAGAAATAATTATCGCCTTTTTAAAATTCTAGATGTCCAATAGGTATTTGCATGCTATCTTTTACACTAATAAGAGTAATTGAAGTCTCATTTTATAATAACAAGTGGTTAAATTTAAATAAACAATAAAATGTAGAAGAAAAAGTCCAAAATCTAATAGTTGTAACCAATTGTAGATGAGCAAACTAAAGCAAACATAAAAAAAAATACAGTCCCATCTTTTTTCCTAAATAAATATTCTCAATTATAATTAAAAATAAAAATAAGAGAAGGATTTGTTAAGAGTAGTAGAAAGTTCATCTTTACAAGTTTTAGCTTATACGACCTAGTCCAAGCACCAAATTGTAGACCCTAAAAGATTTGTTATGTAAACTACAAGCTTTTAATATGTACATGAAATTTAAATTATACAAATCCTTTGGCATATACCCTTCAATGACACAGACTCTGTTGGTGGTGGTAGCCAAATCACAGTAAACCCATGAGAAGATATTTTTGAAGCTTTTTCTTTTGAGTTTCATAAACCATCGACCAAATTTATGAGATTTTTAGTTTGCTTTTCAATTGTTTCAGTATAATTATTTGTTAACAAACCTTTCTATTTTGGTTTTATACAATTAATTTATTCAGTTGCTTTATTTGTTAATATTAAGAATAATAACTCTAATTTTTTTTTTTATAAATGAAGTTAAAATGTCTAATTTGAGAGATAATTCATGTTCTTTAACACCTCATATTTCTACCTCACATCAATCACCAATTCAACAAACTCCTATTCCAACATCTGATGAAAATGCAACGCCATCATTAAGTGTGACTAACAAGGGTGCTGAAGTTGATGATAGTGGGTATAACTCAAGTAAGCTAAAATTAAAAGTATGAAAACATTTTAAAAAAAAAAGAAGATCAATAATGAATGGAAAGCAATATGTAATTAATTGTAAGAAAAAACTTGATGGTGCTTTTAAGAATGGGATAAGTCATTTGCGTAAGCATTCAAAGAGGTGTAGCAAGTGATTTCAAATGGATATTCATCAACAAGTGCTTGTAGGTAATCAAAGGAAGGTAAATGAAAAAGTAACACTAAAAAACTTTTCCTTTGATCAAAGTGTCATAAGAAGAGAGCTTGCCAACATGATAATCATGCACGAATATCCCTTATCAATGGTTGATCATGTGCAATTCAGAAAGTATTCTTACAGTCTCCAACCTTTGTTTGCTATGCCTTCTCGAAATACTATAAAAAGTGATATTTTAAAGATTTTCAAAGAGAAAAAGGTAAAAATAATATCCAAGTTAGAAGCTAATGAAAGGAGAATTGTCATTACAACTGATATATGAACTGTTGATCACCAAAATAGAGGATACATGACTGTCACTGCTTATTATATCGATAATCAATGAAACTTAAAAAAATACATCATCAGGTATATTTTATTAAATTGTCTTATTTTAATAGTGTTTATTTTTTATTAAGTAATTATTATTGAATTAATTATTAAATTAAAGTAAATAATTGATTGTTTAATTAGGTTTGAATATATGTCAACTCTACATATGAAAGAGATCATTGCTTCAAGTTTCATGAAATATTTCTTAGATTGGAATATTGATAGGAAACTTTCATCTATTACACTGGATAATTGTAATGTGAATGATGGTGTTACTGAGTTATTAATTGATAGAATTGGTTGTGATGCATTTTTGCTTAATGAGGCTTTTTTTCACATGCATTGTTGTTCACACATCTTGTATTTGATTGTGAAAGATGGATTGAGTGTGATTGAAGATGGGAATTGAAAGAATTTGTGATAATGTCCTTTTTTGGGGTGCTACACCAAAGAGGTAAGAAAAATTTAAAGAGGCAGCACGTCAATTGCACATTCCAACTTTAAAAAAAGTTATGTGTTGATGTCAAAACACGATGAAACTTTACTTACTTGATGCTTCGAATAGCTTTGTTTTATAAAGATGTTTTTTCTCATTGTGTGCAATTGCATGATGATCCTTTGTACAAATATTTACCAATTGAAAATGATTAGATCATTGCAACCGAGATTTGTGAGAAGTTGAAATTGTTTTATGATATCACTGAAGGGTTTTATGGCACAAAGTATGCTACTACAAATATTTATTTTCCTAATATTTGCAAAATCAGATTGGCATTAAATGAATGGATTATGCATACCAATAGAATTATTTCATGTATGGCAGTGAGCATGTTAGACAAATTTGAAAAACATTGGAATGATGTGCATAGTATAATGGGTGTTGCCATAATTTTAGATCTAAGGTACAAAATAGAGTTGTTAGAGTATTACTTTGAAAAGATTTATGGAGAAAATGTTGAATTTGAAATTGAAATGATTGTGCAAATATGTCAGGATTTGTTTAAGGAGTATAAGGAAAAATTAGCTTTGGAAAAGGAGGGAGGACTTTCTATTTCAAGCTTTTCATCTTATATGGTGTTGGTGTTACTGAATTGGAAAATTTGAGAGATTATGATAATTTTGTTTCAAGAAAAAAAAAGAAGAAATCAAAAGTGAAATCAAAGTTAAATCGTTACTTGGATGAAGAAGTCATACCAAAAAATGAGATTTTGATATATTGAATTGGTGAAACTAACTGGACCTCAATTTTCGACCTTACAACTTATTGTTAGAGATATTTATGCCATACCAATTTCTACTATTGCTTCAGAGTCTACTTTTAATACTGGAGGGAGATTGCTGAGTGCGCAATGTAATAGACTTTATCCATCAACTATAAAAGCTTTAACATGTTATCAAAATTGGTTATAGGCTAAAGAAGAAGGTATAATAATACATATTATGCAATTTTATTTTTTATTTTAGCATATTGTTAGTTATTATATTTTGTTGTTATATATTATTTATTAATATTTTATTATTTCATTTGTAGGGTTAATTTCGTTAAGAGAAAAGTTTTTCTACAAAGATGTTGATGTGAGTGAGATTGAAGAAAAGATAACTAGTTTGGTAATTAATATTATCTTTTTTAACTAATTCATTTTTTATATTATTATTTTTAAATATATTATTTTATGAGATTTATTTATTCATCTTATTGTTTTATTTTATAAGACTAGTGTGGTTAAAGGAGAATAGGGATATGGAGCTTAGAGATGATGAAATGATTTGTTGTGGTCTTGTAAGATTTTCACCATGGTGGATGAAAGGATGTTTAAACAATTTAACTTCTTATTATGGTGGTTTAAGCTCTTGATGTTTATCTTGTAACATGTGCTATGTTTAAATTTTAGTTATTAACTTATGCTTGTTTGATATTTGAAATTTAGTTTACTGAGTTTTATATATTTCATAAATTCATCATCTATGATGAAAATTTATGGTTTTAATTTATTAAGTTTTATGTATTTTATAATTTCATTATTTATGTTGAAAATTTGTGAGATTTTACTAGACAAAAAAAATTGTATGTACTAAGTTTGAATTTGTGAGTGATTTAGTTAAATTTGTTAATGCTTGTAATATATTTAGACTATGATTTATTAAATTTTCAATAAATTTAAATTAATAATAAATTGAATTCGGCTCGAATCGGATCGAGATCGAGGTAATAATATGCTTAACGGGTCGATGTCAAGTTTTTCAAGTAAAACCTTCGAGTACGTGCATGTCAGGTATCAAGTAAAGCTATTGAGGGTTCAAGTCAAAGATGAGGGAAGCAAAAACCGACCTACCCCGCCTCATTGCCAACTCTACTTATCTCACTATTTTGTCACATGTTTTTTTATTTTTAACTAAAAAATAATATTAAAGTTCATCCAACTATAAAAAAATTTATTACATTTAGGGATATCAATCTTATTCATATATAATAGAGAATTCAACTTTTTTTCGAATGATAATGAAAATGAGTATTACATTATAGGTATAGAGATGAAAATGGATAAGATTTTAAATTTTTAATAGATAAAAGAATACGAACTATTAATATAATATTTGTCTCGTACTCATACACATATCTTACATATATATATTTTTATATATTTAATAAATAAATTTTTATTAAATATTATAAATTATTATTTTATATTAATTAAAATTAATATATTTTTATTGAAAAAATATATATTAATTTATATTTATAAAAAGTTTTCTAAATATACAAGATAAAAAAAAAACAAAAAAATAAATTTTAGTTTTTATTTTTTCAAAAGCAATGGATTTGAAGATTATTTATACCTATTAAATATCCATAAAAATGAATACAAGACTAAATTTAAAATATTGATATGAATACAAAAATAAATATAATATAAAAATAAAAAATGAGAAATAAAAATATTCTACTTTCTTCATACCTTACTTGTTAATATCTTTAATTATATTTATATTTTACAATTCATAATTTAGAGATTGGAATTAACAAAATAATCTAAACCAGTTAATCAAAGGTTCAAAATCAAATCTAGCATCAACAACATCCTTAAATTGTTTTTTCAATAAAAATTTTGACCCACTCGAGGTGTGGCACAGTAGCAAGTACGAGCTTAGAAAAGGTAAGACGCAATAGCAAAGACGAATTTGGGAGGACATCGCATCAGTGCATGGTCAGAATTTAATTATTACCCTGGAAATCTTGTTTTAGAGGAGAGACCATAATGGTGAATATCGTACTAAGTTTTCCAGAATTAACAAGGATTCTGTGTGAAAAAGATTAAAAAAAATAACACCATTCTCATTACTTAAAAATTAATGAAAATTTTATTATTTTATTCAAAAGCGAATAATGAATTTCTAATTAAACATTGACTGAAATTTAATAATTTTAAATTACAATTCATTAAAAACATATAAATAATTTGAACAATTATTAATCATAAATTTAACTAAGAATGCACTTATCATTTTTAAATAAAATAATAAAAATTTCTTATGAATTTTTTTTCCCTTTCCAAATTCCCGTCATAAAAGAAAAGGAAACAACAGAACATAAAACATACTGTCAAGGTTATTCATGTTAATAAAAGCTTTTGGTGATCATTCACCAAAACTTTGCCATCACAATGCCAGAACGTACAATATTTCTAACCAGGAAAAGGGAACAAGCACAGCATGAAAATCCTTTTTTTAACTACAAAAAATGATTGAGCTGAAAATATATAACACATTAATTGCCATGAACTAATTGACAACAGTCATGCAACAAGAATTATAATAATCATACAAAAAAAACAAAGTGAAGCCCAGGATGAAAAAATTGAAATCTCAAATTCAATATGAAATATATTAAATATAGGCACAAAAGATCAGTCCAACTAAGGTGGCCCAGAAACAAAGCTCCTCTCTATTGGTTGCATTCCATTTCCATGTATAATCAGAAAGACCTTTTTCTTCTTTGCCCACAAATCAACTGAGCATTTCCATCACAAGATTAAGATCTGTTAGCAGCAATTTACCTGATCATCATTGAACTTCAAATAATGGCCAAACTACATAATTGTACACGAACAAGTTCTTTCACTTCCATTATCGAATTCATCATCTGATCCGCCTGTTTCACTGACATTACATCAAGGTACAATATCAGAAACAAAATTCAAGGTAATTTGAAAATAAACCAAACAAAAAAAAAGAGAATAAATACTGAACAAGCAAGGCGAATATATGAACAGTTTAATTAAAGAAAAAAAAAAACAAGAAGCATAGGATCTTCACCATATGAAAAGAAATTGCCAGGCTAGGGAATTACTGCAAACCAACAAACGGATACCATCTATATTATATTTAACATTTTTGGAATAAGGAACTCAAAGAAAAACTGATGGGTCAATGATAAGACAGTCCATACTGACGGCATAGAATAAAATCCCTATCTTTTGGCACAATACATGAAAAAAAATAGAGGACAGAGGATAACACCTAAATAGTGATCTATCTCAATGCTATATAAGCAGATGATATTACTATTATGGAAATCATAAGCACCAAAAAACAAAACATATTTAACAGCTCAATTATGCAGATGGGATCTCATTGAACTTGATCAAACATCAAGCAGAAAATGTGTTAGGGTAAGCACTCGTAAATTTTTCATCCATTTTTAGCATGTAAATGAACAAAGCTTTCAATGAACTATTCGTTAACATATTCAATTTCTATTCGTTTATTAAACTTAACAAACAATCTTAAATAACATTTTAATGTTCATGTAATAAACGAATTGAACATGAACAAAGGTTTATTTCATTTGTTTATGTTCATGAACAAGCTTGTTTAACGTTTGTGTACAAATTCAATAAATATATGTTTATATTTTGTTTTTATTCCTTCTAAGATGACTACTTTATGATTAAATATCTTTTAATAAGATTTTAATCACAATTTAATATTAATACATTGAAAAATACACTTACCATATATTAAAAATCATTTATAATGTTTTAAAAAATATTATTATAAATATAACTTTTAATTGCCTAAAATGAACAACAAACAAGTTCTGGAGGAAACTTTTTGTTTGTATTCTTTCTATCCCACAGCTTGGAAAACCAATGTAGGGAAGGAAACTATTTATAAGTAGGCATGTCCCCTTTGCTCTTGAGAGACTAAGTCATTGGTTTGCAAGACCAATTTCTTAGTTATTAGTTATGTTTGTTTATTTCATGAATATATTCATTTAATATTCACGAATGAGTTCGTTATTTAAATGAACCGATCCCCGAAGATTCTAATATCTAAATGAACCGAGCTTGAATATAGTGTAAAAATTTCTTAAAAAACATGAATTGTGAAAATAAAAGAACAAACCACAAACACTGCAATGTTCATTCATGTTTGATTCATTTACACCCCTATCCATCCTATCCATTTTTCTTGACCAAAATAGGCTTCATCAATATGATCAAAGCTTTCTTGTTTCCTTTAAAGAAAGAAAGAAAAGAGGTGAGGCTACAAAAATCAAGGTATCATACAAAGCAAGGAATGATCTTCAATGCAACACAAAAAGGTAAGGGGAAAAAACTCACCCCTTGATATTGGCAAGGGAGACTAAAGAAAGCCAATTATGTTAAATGATAATTTATGTAAATTTCACAATGAAATAAATGCTAAGTACAACAACAACAGCAACAACAATAACAACAGACTAAGCCTTATATCCCATAACTATAAGGTCAGTTGTATGAAAGGCCAAAAAAGGGAATCATGTTAGGTTGAAATAAATGCTAAGTGAAAATAAAAATTTATACCCCAGAAACGAGAAGAAAGAACTTAGAGATTAAATTTTCAACCCTTCTAACAAATAAACCTATTAGTGAATAAGTCATAATTAAAAAACCTATGAGTTAAGTGAGGTTATACAAAGGGACAAAAAATGCATAAAAAGACAGCATAATAATATTTTACTAGTGCGTGTCATTAAAAGTTTAAAAAGAAAAAAAACAAGTGCAATCCATGAGGAAAAGTTCTTCCAAAGAACATTGGCATGTTTTGCACCAAGATTGCCAATGCAATTATGTTGTTAAGATCTGGTTCTTACCCAAAATGATAGCTCCCTTAATTTAGATATATGATGCACAGAACAAATTTTAGCCATCACTCTAATAACAAGCAAGCAATGATCCACCATTTGTATACCACAACACCTTGAACAGCTTTAAGGTGTCACAGAAGAATGCCTTATAATGTAACTAAAGTTTAATATCTACCAACCGAACACCCCTTGCACAGATGAAAAATAAGAGAATCAGCTGTCTTTCCCTTTAGTTTTTGATGTGTTGACATGCGATGATCAAGTGAAATTGATATGAAAATTACATACTTCTCAAATCCAAAAGAAATATATAAGCTACATGCCAAGTTTGTGCAAAAGGTACCATAGCAAAGGAGCTCCAATAATTAGCAATGAAAGTATGTTTCTGAACCATAAACAACCATATAAACCAGGAACCATGCAACCAGTAGCAAGGCTTCCTTATAAAGCAGCCAAAGGTTTCACAAAGTTTGGTAGCGATACAAAATTTCAGTTCATATATATGTGTCATGTTGTAACATCATTCAGATCCAATTTCAAGTTTTCAACGTTTACTACATGTGCTTTTACAGTTCTAAGAAGTAAATACCACAAATTTTTCCTATGGTTACCTTTCACTGAGGAAAACAATGTATCATAATACAACTGAACCAACCTGTTTTGCTTTATAACACAAATTGCAACACAATCAGCTTAACTTACAGAAAAGTTTTAGTATTTTCCCAAGCAAGGAAACGCATTATTTGAATAATCAGAATATTTCCAACCTATGGGCCATGAGTGTCCAACAAATTTATAGAGGATTCTACTCAATAGTGCCAAAGAATCTTAACATAACTAGCTTTAGAAAAAACAAGAAAGTATGACAACTTAGTGGTCGTTGCTGGACACATAATATTACTTGAGCTCATGATGCACATTAACTAAGACACAAACAGCATATCATTATAGCGTATAGAAAAACTCAAAATGCGTTTGAAAATTGTACAGCATTACTCATGCAACTTTAATATAGAGCAGATGTTCCTTGTACCTGGGCTCAAATTCCCTGATTTCAGCAAGCTCACTACCATAAGCATCTGTCCACCGCACCTTTCTTCGTTCTGCATGACTAGGGATATCAACATCCCTTCCCCCTGATGCCTCACGGTCATTAACAACCTCAAGAGGAACTCGAGTACTATTTGATCGCTTCTTCAAACTACTTTTAAGGGCAACCTTTCCTGAATTACTATTGCCATCATCAAGTTGAGTTGCGTGATCATTAGTTTTATCTGAAACAAGAGGCCCTGGCAAGACATCCCGCTGTTGAACAGGGCCAACTTTCAAAGGTGATGGGTTGTCAAGCCCGGCGGAAGTGCGACCAAAGCAAACGAAAGAGGCGCACCCGCTGGAAAGCCGGTTCTTGATGGAAGCCAGCTGGAGGTCAGGATCAGATTCTTGGTCCACCAACTGGTAATGGTTCCACGGCGAAACTCTCATGGGCTTGTCCTCGTGCTTCTGACCCAAGAGAAGAAGGGTCAAGCCCTTACTATACCCAGAAGCTGAAGAAGAGAAGAACCCTCCTCCTTCTACTGTCAATAGCATCAGTTCTTCTCATCTGGGGCACCCAGACAACACTTTTTTTTTTCTTTTCAACGCCCCTCCAGTCACAACAAACCGAACCAAACTACCCCCAACTCCTTCATCCACCCATATCTCACAAGTCAGTGAAGTTATCAAATTTCTCAAATAATCAAATTTAACAGTCAATGAAAGCTCTTAAATTCCATTTATAGTAACTAATGAAATGCAATCCCAAGTGCAAACATAATAACTATTGAGTTCCCCAAAAACTGTAATAATTATGGACATGGTCACGCCCTCATTAAAAATTTTACTACCACGCATAATTAAGATCTATAAATTTATTAAAATAAATAAATAAATAAACTTCAATAGCAACATGGTCACGCCCTCATTAAAAATTTTATTACCACGCATAATTAAGACCTATAAATTTATTACAATAAATAAATAAACTTCAATAACATTAATTTTTTTAATTTTAAAACTCAAAAAGAAAAGAAGAAACAAAATCAATAGAGAGAGCTACTTACTGAATTAACATAAAGAAAATTTTAAGAACATCAACGCCAATAATAAAAATTAAATAAATAATAAATTCATTTAAGACTAATTTAAGATCTGTTTACTTTTTAACGTACCAAGGAGCAGCTCAAAGCAATGCTTTCTGTTTGATTGAAGTGAAAGCATTAAAAAATGGAACAGAGAAAAGTTGACAGTGAACAGTTCAAATTGAAAACTTTATTTTTGGCTTGTTCTCCTTTTATTTTCTCGGGAAACAAACAGGATATCAGATCAAAAAAGGCGTGTGACAATTTACCTGATGGCGATTAGACGGATCTGGAGAGTAGGAAAAAGCCAGGAAACAAAACCGGCGGCGGCGGCGTCCTCGACCGTGGCAAACGTACGAATTAATCGGCGAGGAAATGTAAAGTTGGAGAGGATAGTTGTTTCAGAGAAATTATAAATAAAAGGAAGAATAAAAAGGAAATATTAGATTGGGGGGAAAATGAAAAGAATGAGGATACGTCTGGTTGGAATTATTTAAAGTAAAGGATTGGGATAGTGACATCCATGGCGCATGATAGCGATTAGTAATTGGTCCCTCTTCTTTCTTTTGGATTTTGTATTTTTCAAAAACTTTTTATTATTAAAAAAAAAGGGAGTAAGATGTGTTGCGAAGGTAATTTATATAAAAGTGGAACGCTTGCTTGCGTTTGCTTGCTTATGGCTTTGCTTTCGAGTCTTGATTGAAATATTTATATTTATTAATTTATTTTAAGACAGTAACTCTTACATTGTATTATTTTAATTAAAATTTTTTATAAAAAATATATACTTTTTTAAATTATAAATATATTTATTCATTTTAATAATCAAAATTTTTTTCAAAATAAATTATAAATTTTTACACAGACAAGTCAATTGCTCCGAAAAAGCATTTGACTATCTTTTTGTATTTTCAATTTTAAAATGTTTTTTTGTAACAAAACAATCAACTCTTTGCAAAGCCGTCGGTCCTTCTCAAATTCTAAAAAAATTTCATATTCGGCCTTTTAGAAAACAGTCAAGTCCTGTTTATTTACAATCCACTGCTTATAGCGTAGATCAATTTTCAAAACAGTATCAACGGATGACATAGATTCCACTAGGGTTTGGGATCAATTCTACTTACTTTCCAGATATAATAGTCATTTGTTATAAACTCGTAATCAATTATTATTTATATAGAATCTAATTTTAGTTTTGGTTTGACAAAATAGTGGACTTCGTGTTCTATACGATCGACTGCTTCTTGTTCCATTTTTTTTCCTTTTTTTATTTAATTTTTTATTATAAAAATATATTTTAATTTTAATTTTTTAATGAAAAATATATACTTATTAATAGATCAAATACTGTAAAAAAGTCAAATATTAATATATTGTTGGTATTAAGCATTTATCTCATTAAAAAAGAAAGTAATGATAATATAAAAAAGAGATATCAAATATTGTTTCCAAGTAATTTTTATAAAGAGAATAAAAATAAAAATAATGTTTTAATTACAAAATTTTTTTATGAATAGAAATTCTTAATTTTTAATGCTTTAAAATAGTGCATTAAATAAAAAAAAACATTTCCTAAAATAGAAATTTAACTAGGGAAATGTTAACAAGTGCCATTAAGCACTAATTAAAATAATATTTACAGAAAGAATATTACAATTAATTAGTTTTTTGAATTTAATGAAAGTAATATATTAAATATAAAAACCTTTTCTAAAATTATATATATTTTTAATATTCATAACCAATACTGCACGTTAACTAAACGCATTTAATAAATTTTAATTTTTATACGTATAGACAACTGGTAATCAAATCATTTTATAAATATTATTTTAACAATTAAAAAGGGCAAGAAAAGGACTTAGAAAATTTTTTTCGATGATTTGTTAAATTTTTTATTAAAAATAATTAATTAAAATTGATAAATTAAAAAATTTTATTATATAAATAAAGTGTAAATTTTTTTAAAAATTAATAAAATTTTTAAGATAAGAAAAGTAAGATAGGAAATTTTGTTTCTTTTTTTCTTTTAAATTATTTTTCTAGTCAAAAGAGGAATATCAACTTGACTCGTACTATAAATCAATATATATATTTATCATTGAATTAAAATTTTTAAATATATTTTTAAATTATAATTAATAGAAATTTTGATAAATATTAATTTTAAAAAATTTGAGATAAATACGAGTACTTTATTCTTCAAAAAAAAATTGCATCCTACATTAAAAATTAGCACAAATAATAACGCATAAGAGTTTTGAAAATCATATCATTTTATTGTGCATTGATTGAGACTGAATGAACTTAAGTATTGAAATCAACCTCTTAAAAAAATCGACTGCCATTGATGTAACGTAATGAAATATTAGATGTCCAAGAAAATAAAATTAATATAATATAAGATTAATATTATAAATAATTTTAAATTATAATAAAATATTTAAATTTAAAAATTTTTAATATTATATTATAAATTTATTAAGTAATATGATATTTAAAAAATTATTTATTCATCATATATCATTATTTAAAATTAATTATTTTATAAATAAATATTACTTTAATTAATAAATTAAAATCTAAATATCATATTAAAAAATTTTAAAATTAAATATTATATTAAATATTTTATAATAATTTAAGAACAGATCATAAATTAACCCTGTAATATATAAATCACAGGTAAATGCTCACGCTCAACTCACCACGTCAGCATTTGCTTTTTTTTTTTTTCTATTTTCTATACATAAAACATCATCGTTTCTTTTAATTTTTTTCGCTAAACTTTTGTTTTGATTAATAAGAAAACAAAAGGAAAGAGAAAAAGAGAGACAGAAAAGTTTGTTGAATGCTCATCTGTTGCCCGCCTTTAATTTGATAATGTCCTAAGGACCACCAATACTTTTTAGAAGGTAGCTTTGTAAATTGAATTCCAAGGAAAGGGACTGGCTGCTGAAAGCAAAAAAAAAAAAAGAAGAGTCAGAGGAAAAGTCAGAAAATGTTGATCTCCTACTAAAATTTGAGGAATGTGACACTGTCGTAAAAGCCTAGTCAATCATTCATGCTCCACCCAACCTTTTAAAGGCCCCTTTTTGGTGGCGTATTTTCCCACACTAATCTTTAGGGGTTGTGGGATTCTAATTCCTGGAATGCTAGTTCTTTCCTTTTGAATGGTAATTTTTTGGAATTTAATTTTCTTATAGACATCATATTATCACAAATGACAAATTATTTATTTTTTCATTTTAAAAACCTTCATGATTAGATTGTTATCAAATTACATTGATGATGAAATATTAATAATTTTATAATTAAATTGTAAAATTTTTTAAATTAAATTATCAAAATAAAAATTATAGAAAAATTAAGTACCAAAATTATAGTTTATCTTTTTTAATTTTAATTTTTATCAAAATATATAATATCATATTGATATTATTACACAACATGTTAGATAATATAACAATATAACTTCGCATTTTAACAAATAACATGAAAATGTCATGTTAGTAGATCTTATAATTTATATTATCGTATAGTGTAAAATATTATATTTATATCGTATTTTATATGAAAAAAATATGTTATAATTCATGTCAACAAAAAAATATAAAATATAATTTTTTAATTTTATTAAATTTATTTATGATTTTTTAAAATTTTAAACCGTGTTATCTTTATATCTTTTATTCATATTATTTTCGTCTTATATTATCATATCATATTTTAAATTATCAGATTTATATATTAGTATACTATTAGTTTTTAAGAGTTTAATGTTACTTTAATAATTAAAAAAATAATTTTATAAAAGTTAGTGATCAAATTATAATTTTTTATAATTGAATGATTAAAATAAAAAAAATCTAAAAGTAAATAATTAAACATATAATTTTCAACCCACAATGTATACTACTAAAGGAGACTTTTATCGGCTATTCGGCTTATCTTTTGTTTTTTGCTTTCACCTTTTTTCTCAGACACCACCAACCAATAAATGTGATGAAAAATGATGATGATGGTAGCATTCAAAAGGAAGGCATATTTCGATTTATTTGTCTCCCTTTTGAATAATATTACAATTGCAGCTTTTATAGTAGTTTTCTTTGTTTGCTTGCTTTTATGTAGGAACAAGGCATGCTTTCCATCCATCCACGCCTAATGCTACTTTTCCTAACAGAAGCCAATCAAAACCAGCTGATACCCCAAAATCAATTTGCTGCTGCATATCATCAAGGATTGGGATTTTTTTTTTTTTTTTTACAAATAAACATCATTGTACATTGGGTTTTGAGTTTGTTTTTCAGTTCAATTAACCCCTAAACCATCCAAAGAAAAAAAGTAGTAATTAAGGAAAACTATTTTTTCAAGTTTTTAGTGTATTGTTAAAGTAAAATATTTTAAATTCAAAACTTAACTTAATTAATTTATACAATCATTTAAAAAAAAATAACATTTAATAAATTTAAAATTTAAAATTTATAATTTATAATTTTTTGAGTCAAAAGATGGCATAGATTTTGAAGTATCAGCTCACTATTTAAAATAAAAACGTAAATTAGTCAATTTAGTGTTCGCTTCTTTCTTTTGTACAATATCGAGGGTCAATCAGATATTCATAGGTGGAGTATGAACCCAACAAAAATTTCATATGTAATATACGTTCCATATAAAATTTAAGGCGTGATTCATGATTGAGATTGGATAATTACATTTTTTAAAGAATATTTTAGATTTATAGGATTGAATGGTTATAAGAAGTTAATGCAGCATGGAAAAAAATGAATGTTTAAAACAATTTCTTCTTTTTTTTTTAAATATTTTTTGTTTAAAACAATGTGAAATTTACGAAAACTTGAACCTATATTTTAAAAAATATTTATTTGAATAAAATCATAAAATTTTTACGTCAGGACAATTGATCCTTGCAAATTAATTCTCTAAATGTGTTATCAAAGTATAATGAATATTTATGTTTGGTGTTGGATTGATGGTTTGAAAATGGAGTGGGATAATGGATCTCATGTAGGTCATACAATTGATTTGATTTCCATTTCCTTGTTTAGATATGTTCCCTCTAAATGTCATTATTCATTGCACTCAATCATATATTCTACCAAGTGAAGTCATAACATTTATTTCGCATGTACTTTTCAGATTGTATTTTATTGGCCGCAATAAAATGAGCTAAAAAATTCAGATAAGTAAATGGCCTGCATATGGAAGGTTGGGTAAAAGAAGCCTGGATCATACAGATGTAAAAAAATTAAACATAAATAAATTTTATTATAATTTTATCAATTTGTTTAATTAATCAATCTTGAAATATTGTCCTGAGTCACAAGCAAATGCATCAAATCCATTCATTTGTCAAAAGAGTTCAGGAATTATTACTACATTCTTTAGAAGGAAGAACACCAATCATTTTCCCAACCTTGAAATAAGGTGTTTGTGTAGAACTTCAATCTTAAGATATTTTTGAAAAAACAAAAAAGAATGACGGTTAGAGGTAAAAGTAAAAAGTATTTTTTACGTTTGTATTCTAACACATAAGTCAAAATAAGTAAGGTCGAAATGAAAGTAGTAAAGAAAATTAGAAG